CTAGACAGTAAGGCGTGAAATAAAGCATATATTAGTATTTTAAGCTGAAATATTCTCTTCAATTTTAAAACTGGAACTAAATTTGAATTTGACCCTTGCCAACTTGAGACTAACCTACTGAAACTGTATACTGCCTCCTAAAGGAGCAAAATATTTTTCCATTAGCACAATCTTTACCCAAATTTCAAACATACGATGTTTAAAAATGTTTATGTGCAACCGAAATCAGTTCTGAGCAAAAAAATCACAAAGATATTTTTTTATTAAACAAATTGGCCATTACAAGAAAAGATCGCAATCCGAGGATTTCATTTGAAAAAAATGGGTTCAAATGGAAGATATATTATACAATTATGAGTTATGATGAATAACTTCTGAAATGCAATGCTTTTGTTACCAGATAGCATGAAACAAATATCCAAAGGAGGCCAAATCGAGGAAAATTAACTGAGAAATTTTGCATGTATCTTTTTTCCAGACATTTTCACTGAAAATAAAGCTTAAGAATCGTTTATTTAACACTAAAATGTAAAAAGTTTGACAAAATATCTCGTTTTAGACCCGTGACATATTAATGCTAGGTTTCTTTTTTTTTAACCAGTGCAAATCAGTTCTCTGCAATAAGTGCTCCAACTTATTTTCTGAAGAAAACAAAAGGATTGGCACTACAGGAATAAAGTTCAAATCCGAGTCCTTCATTTGATGTAAACAAGTTGAAGTCGGAGAAATGTCCGGGAATTTTTATATGATTGTGATTTTTATCTGAAATGTTATGCTCATGTAACCATGAAATGAGACAAAGAACACAGAGGAGGCTAAAGGCGATGGAAATTAATCTTTATAAAACTTGCATGTATGTTTTTTAACATTCAATTTAGAGTAATATCCCTTGTATTTCCATTCAAATTGATGAATATATGTATCACTTGCCACTCTCAGCAAAGCAAACAATAAAAATTCATTACCGACTGCTAATATTCAATATGTCAGGCTTTATGCCTTGATGCTTTGTTTATTTTCATTGCGAAAACATATCACAAATCAGCCACATTTTCGACTAGAACTAAAATCAAGTATCGTTTTTGATTGAAAAACAATATTAGCCAGTAAGGCGTGAAATATAGCATATATTAGTAATTTAAAGCTAAACTATTCTCTTCAATTGTAAAACTGGAACTAATTTTTGTATTTGACCCTGGCCAACTGTAGAAGTACCTACTGAAACTGTAAACTGCCTCCTAAAGGAACAAAATATATTTCCAGTAGCACTATCTTTACCCGAATTGAAAACATTTGATCAATAAAGATATAAAATTAGCTTAGCTTTGTTCATGAGCAACCAAAATCAGTTCTTGAAAAGGCAAACCTTTTTGGATGAATAAATTAGGCATTACAAGAAAAATTCCAAACCAAGGGTTTCATCTGAATGAAAATGGTTCAAGTGGAAGTAATATCATATAATTATAAATTATGATGACTTATTTCTGAAATTCAATGCTTTTGTAACCACAAAGCCAGACACAGGCATCCCAAGGTGACCAAAGTCAAGGAAAATTAGTTCGAAAAATCTGGCATGTATCTTTTTTGCCAGAGAAATTTTAACAGAAAATTTAGCGCACTAATCATTTGAGTTTTGTCTTTAATGTAAATAGTTTGAGTAAAGTTCTCATTTAATGGCCATGTTTAATTTAAGATGGGTTTCTTGCTGTTTACCTGTACAACCTAAGTCAGTTCTGCAAAAAATGCTCCGAGATATTTTTGAATAAGAAAAGTTGGCACTATAGAAAAAAAGTTCCAATCTGAGGCCTTCATTTGAAGTTAACAAGTTAAAGTGGGAGAAATATCCTGTTATTTAACATTATAGTGATAAGTTATGCTTATGTAACCATGAAATGAGACAAAGAACCGAGAGGAGGCTAAAGGAGATGGAAATTTGCATGTCTGTTTTTAACAGTCAATTTAGAGTAACATCCCCTAAATTTGCATTCAAACTGATGAATATATGTATCCCACGCAACTCACAGAAAACAAAAATTAAATAATTGCCTCTTGCTAGTATTCAATATGTCAGACTTGATGCTTTGATGCTTTGTTTACTTTCATCGCGAAAACATTTTACAAATCAGCCACATTTTCGAGGAGAACTGAGATCATGTATCGTTTTTGATTGAAAATCACTACTTGACATTAAGGCGTGAAATATAGCATATATTAGTATTTTAAAGCTGAAATATTCTCTGCAATTTTAAAACTGGCACTAATTTTTGTATTTGACCTATACCAACTGACCTACTGAAACTGTATACTGTCTCTGAAAGGAGCAAACTGTTTTTCCAGTAGCACAATCTTCACCCAAACCTCAAACATTCGATGTTTAAAAATGTTTATGTGCAACCTAAATCAGTTCTGAAAAAATGCACAGAGATTTTTTTATCAAACAAATTTGCCATTACAAGAAAAAATTCCAATCCGAGGATTTCATCTGTAGACATTTGGTTCAAATAGATGATATATTATATAATTATGAATTTTGATGACTAATTTCTGAAATGCAATGCTTTTGTAACCAAGTAGCCAGAGAAAAATATCCCAAGGAGGCAAAAGTCGAGGAAAATTAGCTTGAAAATTTTGCATGTATCCTTTTGCCAGACATTTTAACAGAAAATTAAGCATCTGGATCGTTAATTTTACTCTAAAATGTAAAGAGTTCGACAAAATGTCTCATTTAAGACCCATGATATATCAATGCCATGTTTTAGTTGTGATTAATGCTTCCGAGGGATCACTTTGTTTCCAGAATTTTGTACTTCACAACAGCAGGTGTCAAGTCCCGTGTGGCAGCCGTAAAAAGTTGCCCCGTACTTCACTTCAGTGTTGTTATATTTTCTGGTCCTTCTGGATCATTGATACCAACACTATAAAATGTTTACAATTGAGTACCGCTCAAGCCGGTGCTAGGGGGCGTGAGGGATGTTGCACTTATTCATTATCCCTCATGTACAGACTCAATCAAACCGAGTTTGCAATTCTTATATTATTTTGTTGTGATTAATGCTTCCGAGGGATCACTTTGTTTCCAGAATTTTCTACCAGTGCAAACTAAATCAGTTCTGCAAAAAGTGCTCTTGCATATTTTTGAAGAAAACAAAAAGGATTGGCACAACAGGAATGAAGTTCCTATCCGAGGCCTTCATTTGAAGTAAACGAGTTACCAGGGGAAAAAGATGAAATAATCTCTTCAATTTTAAAAACTGGAACTTATTTTGTATTTGACCCTGGCCAACTGGAGACTAACCTACTGAAACTGTATACTGCCTCCTAAAGAAACAAAATATATTTCCAATAGCACAATCTTTACCCGAATTTAAATCATTTGATAAATAAAGGTAAAAAATTAGCTTAGCTTTGTTTGTAGGCAACCTAAATCAGTTCTCAAAAAGGCAAAAGTTTTTTGTGTCGCGCGCGCGTGCGTGTGTGTGTGTCTTATAATCTAGTGCTTATTGCTTCATTGTGGGAAACAGTTTTGTGGACGGACGAACGGAGGTTTAAAACTAAAGTCTCCTCCGGTTAAACCGGTAGGGGACTGATAGAATTAGACTGGAATTTGAGGAATTAACAATTGGAAATGTTAGAACATATAAAAATACTAATAAAGTAGCTTAAAAGGAAAGGACATTTGACAGTTCTTGCTTATGTATCTTTCATTTGCTAAACATAAAACACACGTCTATGTCCTCCTTTTATAACTTCAAGTGTTTCGTACACATGTTCCGTCCCCCGGCTAAAATAAATTACAAAGTGTAGTATTGTATTGCGGATAATGTTATTTCTAGTATTAAAATGCTCAATTGCGAGTAGCATTTTCTTGGTTGTTTGTTTTGACATAAAAATCGAATACACATAAATACAGATGAAAGATAGTTGAGCGCCAAACCATTTGATTTCGAAAATGTACTTGTATAAAAGAGCAGTCTGTAAAGTCCAGACACTGAAGCCAGCTAGTTTCACATATCTTGGAAAAAAATAGATGAACAAAAGCAGATATTTGGTAACAGCCGGATTTTCTACAAACTTCACTCTTATCGTTTTTGTAGGCAATTGACAAATGGCGACCTTGGAGAAAACGTAAACAAAATATGTCGCAGTTTTGAAACCGTTAATGGCATTTACATCGATTGACAAGTCAATTACAAACCCAGCAAGAATTTTAATGTAGCATGTGTTGGATAAAAACGAATTTTGGAATGTTGTTGTTTTCATCCAAAATTGAATGATTCTGAGTGTGAAATGCTTATATTTTAGCAAACGTTTTGCCAATGATATTTGTAAATGAAATAGATAAAATAGAGAAAACATAATCCCTAAAGAAAGCCCAACACGGCGCTAGCACCGGCTTAAGCAGAACACGAAAATGGTGAAATTTTGAATTAAGAAACATCCGCAGATGTGTTCATACGGTTTTTATCATAGAACTTTTAATATGACACAGTAGTGCCATTCCATGAAAGCGGCGTATTGTCCCCAAATTAAAGAATGCGTTTGCCCTAAACGATTTAACAATGGGCGGAACTAAATAAAATGGAATTTTAAAAGGGGATATGAAGTTATGAAGCCTGCATATCACAGACAAGACGTCAAAAGACAATTTAAAAAGCAGGCAGGCATATATCTTATCAATTTACGATATGAAGTCGCTTCTTTCACTTTTCAATGTAACAAAACTATTACGCCTATCTGAACAATATACATGTAAATTATCATTTTTAAGTTTTTAAATTGTAATGCAATTCACGAAAATTGAAAAAATGTTGTTACAAAAATGTACACATTTGATCTAAACTTGATAAAAATGGGTATTTTACGTATAACTTAAGCTCATTTAAGTACATGTATCATGAATTTATCTGGAAAAGAAAAAATACAGACAGACGTATCTTTGCAACTTATTTTACTCGAAATGTAATTCAGGTTTAGATTTAAATGCAGAAAATTTGATTTGAGTGATAATTATAATAACATTCCATTAAGGTTATATTTTGAAGCATTTTAAATCATACAATTTGGTTGGTTAATTGTATTTAATTGTATTTTTTTAAGTGTCATCATTGTACAATTTCCAACTTTTATACATAGATTTTATAGGTATACATTGCAATAGTCATTCTAAAGTAGAATATATCTAGACTACTGAGTATTATGTCAGGACTTCAGCAATTCTAAAATAGAGAAACCAAATATTTAAAACAAATGTTAGATATTCTTTGTTAACAATTTAACCAATTCATCTCATAACCAGGGATAACTGATGCTCATTTTTTATTTATCAAGCAACTCATTTTCAAGGCCTCTTTAATCCCATTCTTGTTATTGAAAACTTTGGTACTGCCCACAACATGTCAACATAAATATCGCTACATGCTGATTGGCTAAATTCTGCAATCGATAAGACACCAGTAATTTGTGATCTGGGAATAATTCAGTCTTCGCTGGACGCGGACGGATTGCTGTATTACTTTAGTAAATCGTAGTAAATTCAATAATGTATTTTCTTCGTTTTAAAGTAAGTTAATAATAATTTGAATTGTTTTATTAGGATGAATGTGTTGAAAGGTAAGATTTTCTTCTGAACGCTTCATTCATTTTGCATCTAAGGTTTGAGCATTTCATCATGTCAAAGACGATATGTATCTATTTTGTAAAGTATGATTTTTTTCTAAAAATGTATAAATAATGAAGTAAACAAAATATTGAGAAGAAATAAAATGGTTAGAAATTAATATTCTTTAAAAATGTTACTTTATTGTTCAAATGAAAGTACGAAGGAACTTTCTTTTTTTGCTGAATAAAATGCTATTTCTAGACAGGCAGACAGGCAAGTAAGTAAAGTAGGTAGGTGGGCAGGCAGGTAGGTAGATAGGTTGGTAGGTAGGCAGGCAGGAGGGTAGGCATATAGGTTTGTAGGCAGGCAGGTTAGTAGGCAGGTAGGTAGGCAGACAGGCAGGAAAGCAGATAGGCAGGTAGGCAGTTAGGCAGGCAGACAGGCAGGCAGGCAGGTAGGTAGGTAGGTAGGAAGTTAGATGGACAGGCAGGTAGGTAGGTATGTAGGTAGGTATGTTGGCAGGTAGGTAGGTAGGTAGGAAGGTAGGAAGGCAAGTAGGTAGATAGGTAAGTAGGTAGGTAGGTAGGTAGGTAGTTAGGCAGGCATACACCTAGACAGGTAGATAGTTAGGCAGGTAAGCAGACAGGCAAGTAGGTAGGTAGGATGGTAGGTAGATAGATAGGTAGGTAGGTAGGTAGGCAGGCAGGCAGGCAGGCAGGCAGGCAGGCAGGTAGACAGGAAGGCAGGCAGGCAGGCAGGTAGGCAGGTAGGCAGTTATGCAGGTAGGTAGGTAGGAAGTTAGATAGATAGGCAGGCCGGTAGGTAGGTATGTAGGTAGGTATGTTGGTAGGTAGGTAGGTAGGTAGGTAGGTAGATAGGCAGGCCGGTAGGTAGGTAGGTAGGTAGGTAGGTAGGTAGGTAGGTAGGTAGGTAGGTAGGTAGGTAGGTAGGAAGGTAGGTAGGTAGGTAGGTAGGTAGGTAGGTAGGTAGGTAGGTAGGTAGGTAGGTAGGTAGGTAGGTAGGTAGGTAGGTAGGGTAGGTAGGTAGGTAGGTAGGTAGGCAGGCAGGTAGGCAGGCAGGTAGGTAGATAGGTAGGTAGGTAGGCAGGTAGGCAGGTAGGCAGGTAGACAGGTAGACAGTTAGGCAGGTACGCAGGCAGGCAAGTAGGTAGGTAGGATAGGTAGATAGTAGGTAGGTAGGCAGGCAGGCAGGTAGGTAGGCAGGCAGGCAGGCAGGCAGGCAGGCAGGCAGGTAGGTAGGTAGGTAGGTAGGTAGGTAGGTAGGTAGGTAGGTAGGTAGGTAGGTAGGTAGGTAGGTAGGTAGGTAGGTAGGTAGGTAGGTAGGTAGGCAGGCAGGCAGGCAGGCAGGCAGGCAAGCAGGCAAGTAGGTAGGTAGGATGGTAGGTAGATAGGTAGGCAGGTAGGCATGTAGGTTGGTAGGCAGTCGGGCAGGAAGATGGGCAGGCAGGCATGGGCAGGCAGGCAGGCTGGCAGGCAGGTAGGTAGGTAGATAGGTCGTTTAAGGAAGTTTGATTGTTAAGCAGGCAGGTAGGCGGGCAGGCACTTTTGAAAACATACTGATATACAATTCTATTTTATTGTAACATTTTTAAAAGATGATAAATTAAAAGATGAACAACAATTGATGAATTAAATATATATAAAAATAAATATTTGATATTTGTATAAAATGTATAAATTTATATGATAATTAAATCGGTCAATTTTAGATCAAAATTGATATCCAAAGCTTTTTACATGTAACACTTCCAGAAAATAATAGATTTAGTCAAAAAAGGAAAATAAGTTTATAAATAAATTGGTCAATATCATTCTCTATTTCGTTGTATCACTAAGCCATGCAGGCAAACAGTCAAAGCCGGCAGTGGTTATGTAGGTAGACAGTCAGCCAACCAAGCAGGAAGAAAGGCACTTGTATGAAGGCAGGTAAGGATACAGGAATACAGGCACTTTAAAATAGTAAAGGCCGACGTGCAGTCAATTTATTAAACAATCTGTTATACAATTCTTTATTGTTATCATTTAAAAACATATATATTACAATATGAACGAGATATTTGTATATTAAATACAGAAATAGATATTTATGGATATAACGAAAATATTATCTTACAATGTGAACAAGAAATTTATCTTATAAAATACAAAAAAATAATATTTAATGAATATAATAATTAGTATAATAAATACATGTTCCAATTTTAAATCAAAAAAATATTCACGTTTTTATTGCAATACTTTAAGAAAAAATAGAAATTTAACTTTTATTTTAAATACATATATCATTAAATATATTTTTTATATATAAAATTTATCCAGGGAGACAGGAAGCCAGTGGTATGAAGGCTGCAAGTATGCAGGAAGACAGGCAGTTTAAAATAGGTAGGCCGACAGGAAGGCACTTTTTAAATTAATCTGTTATACAACTCTATTTCATTGTATCATTTAAAAAAAAATAACAATATGAACAATAATAATAATATAATAAATTAGTATAATAAATACATGGATCAACTTTAAATAAAAAATATTTCATGTTTAAAACGCAATATTTTAAGAAAATAATATATTTAATTTTTATATTAAATATATATTTATTTTTATAAATAAATTGCCAATTTTATCAAGGCAGACAGGAAGCCAGTTGTATAAAGTATGCGAGAAGACAGGCAGTTTAAAATAGGTAGACCGACAGGCAGGCACTTTTTAAATTAATCTGTTATACAACTCTATTTTATTGTATCATTTTTTTAAAAAATAATTTATTACAATATGAACGAGAAATTGCTATATTTAATACGAAAATAAATATTTAATGAATATAATAAATGAGTATAATAAATAAATTGGTCACTTTACGAAAATATTATCTTACAATGTCAACGAGAAATTTATATATTAAATACAAAAAAAAGATATTTAATGAATATAATAAATTAGTATAATAAATACATGGGTCAATTTTAAATCAAAATAAATATTTCACGTTTTTATCGCAATACTTTAAGAAAATAATATATTTAACTTTTATATTAAATACATATTTTTTCTATAAATAAATTGAACAATTTTATCCAGGCAGACAGGAAGACAGTTGTATGAGGGCCGGCAAGTATGCGAGAAGACAGGCAGTTTGAAATAGGTAGACCGACAGGCAGGCACTTCACGTTTTTATCGCAATACTTGAAGAAAATAATATATTTAACTTTTATATTAGATGCATATTTTTTTCTATAAATAAATTGAACAATTTTATCCGAGCAGACAGGAAGCCAGTTGTATGAAGGCCGACAAGCATGCGGGAAGACAGGCAGTTTAAAATTGGTAGACCGACAGGCAGGCACTTTTTAAATTAATCTGTTATACAACTCTATTTTATTGTATCATTTTATGAACGAGAAATTGCTATATTTAATACGAAAATAAAAATTTAATGAATGTAATGAATGAGTGTAAAAATAAATTTGTCAATTTCAAGAAAATAATATATAACAATATGAACGAGAAATTTGTATATCAAATACGAAAATAAATATCTAATGAATATAATAATTTAGTAAAATAAATACTTTGATCAATTTTAAATCAAAACTTATATCCAACGTGTTTTCTTATTGCGACACATTTAGAAATAATAGATTAAATGATTTAAAATCAAACAAATAGATATAGTTGATAGTCTTATTAGTCAATTTAAAAACCAAACTGTTATTCAGCTCTATTTCTTGTAATATTTATCTAGGCAGGCAGGTAGGTAAGTTGTTTTATTTAGGTAGGCAGGCAGTTTTAGGTAGGTAAGCAGGCAATTTGAAAACAGTTGATATGCAGTCTATTTTATTGTATCATTTTAAGAAAAATGTTAATTAAGAGATGAACAAAATAGTGATATAAAATATTTAAATAAATATCAATTGAAAACATATGAATTCACATCAAAATATATTGGTCAATTTTAAATCCAAGTTAATGCCCCACGCTTCTTATATCAAACACTTTAGCAAAATAAAGATTAAAAGGTTTAAAAAACAAATAGATAAATTAATAGATTAATTGGCCAAACTTTAATTCATTTTTATATCCAAATATATTTATTGTTACACTTTCGTAAAATAATAAATACCAATATGAAAAAACAAATAAATAAAATAAATAATCTACTCCAGAAAACAAATAGATTGATTTATCAAATTTAAAAACAAATTTTATCAAACGCTATTTCATTTAGAAAATAAGAAATAAACAATATATATATTAATTGATAGATAAATTTGGTAAAATGTAAAACAAATCTTGTAAAACAAATCTGATATCCAACTTATTGAAGTGTGAAGTGTAACATTTTAAGAAAAAAATATTAAGAAAAAAACAAACAACAACAACAACAACAACAAAACAAGAGCAAAATGAGATCATGTACATAAATTAATCAATTTAGAAGCAAACATATATTAAACCCATTTTTTATTGCAACACTTTCGGAAAATATTTAGATAAAAGATCAAAAGTCAAAAGAATAGATAATTTAATAGGTTGATCATTTATTAATAAAAGAAAACGAATATTCAATCCTATTTTATTGTAACATTTTCAGAAAATAATGAAGTAAAAGAATAAAAAACCATACCAGTGGACGATTTATTATTGTTACTTTAAAGATAAAAATAAATTATAAAAAACAACTCAAAAGATCTAAGATCAAATATAAAAAGATAACAAAATAATTTAGTAAGTAATTTCAAAATCGAAAATGATATCCAACGCTTATTTATTGTAACAATCGAAAAATATAAAAATAAAAATAACTGAAAAAAATCACCAAAAACAAATAGATAAATAAATTAATGAATAAATAAATCAATCTTGAAAGCAATCTGATATCCGATTTTATTTTTTTTGTAACATTTTGATGAATAAATAAATTAAAAGATAAAAAACAAATAGATAAATGTATTAAGAAATTTGCCAATTTTAAATCCAAATTGGTTTCTAACGCTTTTTTACAACACTCAGAAAATAATCAATTAAAATATATAAAACAAATAAATTCATGAATAAATAAATTGACCAATTTTAAAACATAAATAATATCTCAGACTATTTTAATTCGACACTTTCAGAATTAATAAATTCAAAACTTAAACAATAAAAATAAAAATAAGGATAAAAAAATATTGATAAGCAAATAAATCAGTTATAAATCCAAACTGATATCCGATCCTATTTTAGAACAGTTTCAGAAAATAATAAATTTGAAGATTCAAAACAAAAAGATAAATTAATAAATAAATAATCAATTTTGAAAGCAAACTGATATCCAATGCTATTTTATTTTTTTCCTTTATAAAAATGAGAAAAATTAAAAAAAGAAGTAGATGAATTGATAAATAAATAGGTCAATTTTAAAATAATAATAAATTATTAAAAAACAAAAACTCAAAAGATCCAAGATCAAATATAAAAAGATAATAAAATAATTTAGTTAGTCATGACATCCAACGCTTATTTATTGTAACAATTGAAAAATATGAAAAATAAAAAATAATATGAAAAAAACAAACAACCCAAAACAAATAGATAAATAAATGAATGAATGAATAATTCAACCTTGAAAGCAATCTGATATCCGACTTTATTTTAACACTTTGATGAATATATAAATTAAAAGATAAAAAACAAATGGATAAATTTATAAAGAAATTGTTCAATTTTAAATCCACATTGATATCTAACGCTTTTTTACAACACTTTCAGAAAATAATAAATTAAAATATCTGAAACAATATCTAACCCTTACCCTACATGAATAAATAAATTGACCAATTTTAAAACAGAAATAATATCTTAAACTATTTTATTTTGACACTTTCAGAAATAATAAATTCAAACTTAAACAATAAAAATAAAAATTAGGATAGAAAAAAAATATTGATAAGCAAATAAATCAGTTATAAATCCAAACTAATATCCGATCCTATTTTATTGCAACAGTTTCAGAAAATAATAAATTTTAAGATTAAAAACAAAAAGATAAATTAATAAATAAATTAATCAATTTTAAAAGCAAAATGATATCCAAAGGCTATTTTGTTTTTACTTTATAAAAAATGAGAAAAATTAAAAAAGAAGTAGATTAATTGATAAATAAATTGGTCAATCTTAAAACTGGACTGACATC